GAAATGCATTTTTCACATCAAGTTGGTGCAATGGCCAATTTGCATTAATAGCAAGAGATAAAAGGACCTGAATAGAATTTATCTTGGCAACAGGGGCAAATGTTTCTTGATAATCTATTCCATGGGTTTGTCTAAAACCCTTCTCAACTAATCTGGCCTTGTACCTTTCTACAGTACCATCTGCTTTGCTTTTAACTGTAAACACCCATTTGCACCCAACAATCTTTTTCTCTCTAGGCAACTCCACCATATCCCACGTATCATTCTTCCTCAATGCTTCCATCTCTTCAAACACTGCAGATTTCCAGTTCTGATCATCCAACGCTTCTTTAATGTTTCTAGGAATCACAAGTTTTGAAATTTCAGTGGTAAAGGCTCTATATTTAGGAGAAAGGTTATCATAGGACACATATTTGGAAATTGGATGTCTAATACAAGTACAGGTTCCTTTCCTAATGGCGATAGGAAGATCAAGATCAGATTCTTGAGTAGGAAGAATAGGGTTTAAAACTGGGTCAGATTCTGGAACAGTAGAAGAAAAGAAAGGTGAAGTATTACCTGATGTATTTGGACAGACTTCACTCGAGGACTTCTTGTGAACAGGAGCTGGACTCATCAATGGACCTTCACCCTTTTTAAAAGTATTTTTCCTAGTGTAGACCACAGGCTCAAGATTGGAACGATTTTTCTCTCATCGTAATATTTCCATATATGATAAACCAATATCAGTTTCTGCACTATCAAATTGAGGGATCTTCGTTTCCTTATCTGTTTCAAAAATTATATTTGGTAAAGCTTCAGTTTCCTAAAAATTTGATTCACTAGAATTCTTCCCCTGAATCAAAGGTTTGTTAAAGAAAGGAAGACCTTCCAAAAAAGTTGCATCCATAGTGACAAGACTTTTCGTGTGAGAGGATTAAAGAATTTGTACCCTTTTTTATTTGGAGCATAACCAACAAAGACACATTTTTCGGCCCTAGGATCCAACTTGGACCAGATTTCTTTGGAATATACACATAAGCAGTGCATCCAAATATTTTTAAAGGCAAATTTGAATTAACTCTTGATTCAGGGAAATTGTTTTTAAAGCACTCTAAAAGAGTACTATATTGTAAGACCTTAGAAGGCATCCTATTAATTAGGTATGATGCTGTTAAAACAGTATCCCCCCAAAAATATTTTGGTAAGTTCATATAAAACATCATGGCACAAGCGACTTCCAACAGATGTTTGTTTTTACGCTCGGCAATTCTATTTTGTTCGGGGGTATCAGTGCAAGAAGACTGATGTAAGATCCCTTTTTCTTCAAAAAATGTTCCAAGAATACTATTATAATACTCTGTTCTATTATCAGACTGCAAAATACTTTCTTTTGTTTGAAATTGATTTTCTATCATGTTATAGAAATTTTGAAAAATGGTTGCTACTTCTGACTTCTTATGCATTAAGTATACCCAACATAGACGAGTATGGTCATCTATGAACGTTACAAACCACCTTTTTTTAGAAACAGTAGTAACCCTTAAGGGTCCCCAAACATCACTATGAAAAAATAAAATGGTTTTGATGGTAAATAAGGCCTTGGGACATAAGATTTTAGTTGACTTTTAGTAAGCAAACAACTTTCACATTTTAGTTTCAGGGGGTTCACAGTCTTAAAAAGCAAAGAAAACAAATGTTTTAGATAAATAAAACTAGGATGGCCCAATCTGTAATGCCAAACCATTATTTGTTCATAAGCAGATACAGAAATATTACTACTAGACTCTTGAGCAATTTGAGCACTAGGTGAATTATCCTCAAGACAGTAAAGGCCATTGATCATTCTAGCCCTGCCAATTGTCATCCTCGAATTCTTGTCCTGAAAAATACAATGAGATTCATCGAAAATAGCCAAACAATTAGAATCTTTTGTTAGTTTACTAGCTGATAAAAGATTGTAGGCCAATTTTGGAACATAAAGAACAGATTTCAGGTTAATATTTTTGAGGTCTGTATTGAACCTTTTCCAGCAACAGGAGAGAAACCTCCATCTGCAACCTTGATCTTTTTATTTCCAGAACATGGTGTATATGATTGGAAGAGTTTAAATGAATTTGTCATATGATCTGAGGCTCCAAAATCTATGATCCATGGAGCAGAAAAGGTTGAGGAATTAGACAAAAAGAATTGAATAGAGCCTTAAATCCAATTGTATGAGCCATAGAAGCATTAGGAAAGTCAGATGAGGTAGAACTGGATTTCAGTAGCATAAGAAGATGCTCCATTTGTTCTTTGGTGAAAGGGCCAGCATCAGCTTCATTAGTAGTAGGAACTCCTCTTCCAGACTTCTCTCCTCTGTTTTTCCAATTTGGAGGTTTTCCGTTCAGTTTCCAACATGTGTCACGAGTGTGACGAGGCTTATTACAATAGTCACACCAGACCTGTGGTTTTTCACTGGATTTTTCTTCTGTTCTACGCTGATAAGTTGATGTTTTAAAGGATGAGACAACCTCTAAAGCCGATCGTTCAACAGCAACTCCAGGACCCTTCTTTCCTAGCATTACATTTCTTCTGCTTTCCTCCATTCTAACCTCTGAGAACACCTCACCAATTGAAGGAAGAGGTTGTCTCCCAATAATTCTCCCTCTAACTTCATCAAATTCAACGTTTAGCCCAGCCAGAAATTTAAAGATCTGGCTGTCTTCAACAGTTTTCTTATGATGCTGAAAATCCTCTGTTGATTTCTACTCATAACTGTTGAAGAGATCCAAATCCTGCCATATTCGCTTAAGCGAATTGAAATATTTTGTGACAGTGTCTTCCCCTTGACGTAGATCTCCAATTTTGAGAGTCAACTCGAAAATTCAGGACTGATTTCCCAAATCAGAGTACATCTGATTGATATTTTCCCATAACTCTTGTGCCGTTGAATAGCACATGTAGTTAGAACTAATATCTTCTTCCATTGAGTTTACAAGCCATGTTATTACCATGGAGTTTTCCGCGTCCCATGTTGCGTAAGCAGGATCCGTGCTTATTGGAGCCTTTGTTTCACCTGTTAAATACCCCATCTTGCCACGACCTCTGATATACATCCGGACTACTTGTGACCATCGGAGAAAATTATCTCCATTCAGCCGAATAGTAATAATCTGAATTGAGTGAGAATCAACCCTAGTTTTCAAGGATTCGATTCTGTTTTTGGATGAAGAGGCAGTAGTTTGAGAATTAATGGTAGAGTCTGATGATGTTTCAGACATGATGAAGGGACAGGGGACAATGTAAAAAATAAGGAGGAAAAATGAAACAGAAAAAAAAATCAGGCAAAGATGCTCTGATACTAACTTGAAAATAATGAATAAGGGGAATAATTATTTCATTGATCCAAAAGAATATATACAACAGGTTTCAGCATATATTAGGAAACTATACACAATTATATCCTTAATTCTAGAAATAAGATTTTACACCAAATTAGCTCCTCTACAGCTAATACACAGTTATAGTTATATAGAATTTCTCTCCACTAATCTCTCCAAATTTATAGGTTTTATTACTCAATATTCTACTTCTCAAAAATACAAATTTTTCCACACATTAAATCATAAAGAGGTTATATAGTAAAATATAAAATCATACAGGGTTAGTGTGTCATGTATTTATAAGGTAATTTCAACATTTTTAAAGATTCCGTTATGAATGATCATTTCCGTCATTTTGACATTTAAATCCAAACCATGAGAAAATTATGTATAGTTTTTGAAATCATAAGAAGATTATGTAAAAAAATACTAGACCACAGAGGGTAAAATATAATTTTCCCTAAAAGCAAATTAGTGGCGGTTCAATGTCTCCAAATATTAACGGTAAGGACGCAAAGTTGAAAAGGGTGATAGGTTGAGGATGCAAAGTACAATTTGACCTGCTAAATAACTATGTGTATCCCTCAGGTGCTTGGAAGGATTAATTTTATTAACATTATTAACACTTAGACCAAAATGTCACAAGTATGAAAAATCTCAAGGTATATTTTGTCCAAAATTAAATTCTATTATAATGAAAATGGTTCACAAGTTGAAGGATGCAAAATGAAATTAGTCATTTTACCTAACGGAGTTTTAGGCTTTAGAATCAACAGCACTTATGAAGGAGAGGCAAATTAGTTCAGTCGTTCATGGCGAATCATGGCAAACGGTTTCACCAATGTGGTTTTACTCTTTTGGAGAGGACTAGCTTGGCCTTTAGCCAGATGTTATCACCTTGAAGACTTCCAAGGTTTGGAATACTTACGGAATGAGTAATCGTCCTAGATTTGCATTTATCAACAGAACGAACATACCACTCTTCTTTTTTTTTTTATAGCAAGTGAAAGGTTTTAAATTCAGAATCTTCTACTTACAATCTCTTTCATTTGATCACTTAATTCAATCCTCCACTAGAACTAGGGCTGCAAATAAGCCGAACCGAGTCAAATTTTGGACTTATCTAGCCAAGCTCGACTTAATAATAGGTGGGCTCGAGTTTGAGATTGAGCTCGACAAGCCAAGAAAATTGAGCTCGAGCTCAATTCGACAAAGGAAAAGCCAGGCTCGAGCTCGATGTTAGGAATCATAAGTGATGCGATGTAGTTTTGGAGCATTGTGGCGTCGTTTTGGAGATTGCCAGGAGGAATAAGTAGCGCGACATAGTTTTGGTTGGGAATTCATATTCTTGTTAGAAACGGTGTCGTTGCATTGGAAGTTAGTTAGAAAATCTGTTATATTGTTTCAGTTAGTTGCAAAGGTGGTTAGCACTGATGAAGTGTAAATAATGCTATAAATAGCAAATGGGTGAAGGAAGGCAGTAGTCAGATTCATAACCAGAAATTTTCAAATGAAAATATCTTTTCTCTCTTCTCAATTCTCTCTCAGCTCATGAACACTCCTTTCTCTCTTTCTTTCTTCCGCAAACTATCAGGTTAAATCCTGACAAGTGACTTCAGAGCCTTCAATTCTCGGAGGAATTCGCATAATTTTTCGATGGCAGATGGTACTAGACTCAAGAATTTGGATGAACAACTCAGGAAACTTGAGACTAGGATTCATATTCAAGTAGATTCCATGCAAGTAGAGCTACAGGAAACTCGAACGCACGTAGATACTCGAATGGAGGAACTCGATAAGAAGATTGATGCGTTAATGGCAGGAATGGAGACAAAGTTGACTTCATTTCTTCAAGCTCTCAATAGAGACAGAGTAACTGCACCAGATGAATCTCCTCCACTAGATAAGACTCCTTTATTGTCCAATCCGTATGTAAGATGCAAGGAATGGTGTGATCAGTCAGCAGCAAGCAAGGAGCACAGGGTTATAGTTCCGAATCCTCCTAAGGTAGACCTTCCATTCTTTGAAGGGGACAGACCTCAGGTGTGGATCAGGAAATGTGAGAAATATTTTCTCATTCATCAACTTCCTGAGGACCAGAAATTGGAAGTAATGGAGATGTATCTGGTAGGAAAAGCAGAGATATGGTTTCATGGAGTCAAGAGGAGGAAAGGAAGAATCTCTTGGGAAGAATTTTGTGAATTATTGAAGAAGAGGTTTGGAGATCGAGGAAGAAGAGATGAGGTGGAGGAATTCAATAAACTCCACCAAACCAGCACTGTCAAGGACTACCAGGAGAAATTTGAGGAACTGAGTTCCTTGATGTTAGTAAGGGATCCTCACCTATCTGAATCTTACTTTGTTTCCAGTTTCATCAGTGGCATTAAAGAGGAGATCAAACCTATGGTTAAGATGTTAAAGCCTAAAACCTTGATTGAGGCTTTTGAGATTGCCGAATGGTAGGAACAATCACTGGAATTGAATGGAAGGTATGCCAAGAACACTAGGAACTGGGAGCCTTGGGAAAATTCAAGGTCCTCCAGTTGTCAACAGCCAACACAGGGGGGAAGGTTTCAGAACCATTTGGTCAAAAGAAGGTAAATTCTGAGAGCACTAACCTGGAAAGTGGAAAGATCTCTCCTCATGAGATCTTGCGCAAAAAGAACAATCATCTGTGTTTTAAGTGTGGAGAGAAGTTTAGTCTTGATCATCAGTGCAAATTTAGGCATTTGAATTTCATTCTGGAAGATGATGAGGAACCTGAATTCCTTGATGCCATTGGAGAACAAGATGAGTATACTGGTCATCCAGGACAATCAGTCGATGTGTCCTTGCATGCATTGACAAGCTCTATTAAGAGAAAAACTCTAAAAATGCAAGGGTTATTAAAAGGAAAAACTATATCTGTTATGGTTGACACTGGCAGCACTAATAGTTTTCTGAATTCCACATTACTGAATACCATGACCTTAAGGACAGTTAAGATGACACCACTAAGGGCCACAATTGCTGATGGGACCACCATTTCCAGTGAGCTGTATTGTCCCAATGTGACATGGAGCATCCAGGGGTACAACTTTAGCTTTCCTTTGGTAATCATGGAACTAGGGACATGGGACATGATACTTGGACTAGATTGGATGGTGCAATATAGTCCTATCACATTCGACTTCAAACAGTTGATGATCAAACTATCAGAGGAAGATGGGGAAATGGTGTTGAAAGGTGCAGCAGAGCAACCCTCAATAAAGCTGGTAAGAGGAAAGGCAATAAAAAAGTTCATGCAACAGAAACACAGAACCTTGGCATCAATCTGTTCAGTGCCTGAGGATAGCAACTCAGATGATGTAAATTCACTTCCTAGTGAAATCTCAGAATTACTACACCAGTTCTCTGATATATTTGCTGAGCCTACACAATTACCACCTAAAAGAGCACATGACTACACCATACCCCTGAAACCAGGGGCTCAACCTTTTAAACTCATACCTTATAGGTATCCACACTCCCAGAAAATAGAAATTGAAAACCAAGTGTCTAATATGCTTTAAACTGGGATCATTAAGCCTAGTACTAGCCCATTTTCTTCTCCTGTCCTACTAGTCAAAAAGAAAGAGGGTACCTGGCGTTTCTGTGTCGATTACAGGTACCTAAATAATCTCACCATCAAGGATAAGTACCCTATTCCCAATTTCGAAGAACTCTTAAATGAACTATTTGGCTCTAAGTTTTTCAGCAAGATTGACCTCAGGTCTGGTTATCACCAAATCAGAGTCAAGGCTTGTGACATCCATAAAACAGTATTTCAAACTCACCAAGGCCATTATAAATTCCTAGTTATGCCTCTTGGCCTCACTAATGCCCCTGCCTCTTTCCAATCCCTCATGAATGAGATCTTCCAGCCTTACCTCAGAAAATTTATACTTGTCTTCTTTGATGCCATACTCATCTACAGCCCAGACCTACAATCCCATGTAAATCATCTGAGAACAATGTTGAAAATTCTGAGATCTCACCAGTTGTATGCAAAGATGTCCAAGTGTATGTTTGCTCAACTGAAAGTGGAGTACTTGGGCCATATCATATCCTACAATGGGGTTGAAATGGATGCAGCTAAAGTTGAGTGCATAAGAACTTGGCTAGTGCCTGAAACTGTTAAGGGTTTGAGGGGATTTTTGGGCCTTACAGGTTATTACAGGAGGTTTGTGCAAGGCTATGGGCAGATCTGCAAGCCTTTGACTGAATTGTTGAGAAATGACTCTTTTGGCTAAAATGAATCAGCTGCCACAGCCTTCTAGAATTTGAAGGATATCATGAGTACCACTCCTGTGCAAGAATGCCAGATTTTTCTAAACCTTTTGTAGTGGAGACTGATGCTTGTAGTAAAGGCATAGGTGCTGTGTTGATGCAAGAAGGGCAACCCATAGCTTATCTCAGCAAAGCCTTAAGTCCTAAGAACTTGGGACTATCTATATATGACAAGGAGTTGTTAGCTGTGGCGATGGCAGTAACAAAGTGGAAACATTACCTGCTGGAATACCATTTCATCATTAGGACTGATTACCAGAGCTTGAGATTTTTATTGGAGCAAAGGTTGAATACACCACTGCAGCATAAGTGTTTAACAAAGCTCTTAGGCTTGGATTACGAAATCCAATACAAGAAGGGAGCTGAGAGCAAAGCTGCTGATGCCCTGTCCAGAAAGGGATTTCAGGAGGAGGATACGGCAGGAAAAGCCTGTGTCAGTGAGGATTCTGTAAGGGCAGTATGTGCCATTTCTTGCATAAAGCCCCGATAAAAAGGTAGATGTATCTAAGAGTTATGAGGGTGACTTAACATGCCAGGAGAAGATTGCTCAATTGCTGATAGATCCTACTTCTGTTGCTGACTATGAGTATGCAGATGGGATTTTAAGGTTCAAAGGAAAGATTTATGTTGGAGATCATGGTAATCTGAGGACTCAAATCATTCAACATTTACATTCTTCTGCAGTAGGGGGCCATTCTGGTCAATTGGGGTGCCTGAAGAGACTAGGTACAGTCTCCTACTCGCCTAGGATGAAGAGGGATGTAGTTGAATTTGTCAAATAGTGTGATGTCTGCCAGAGAAACAAGTATGAGAATGTCCCTTACCCTTGCTTATTGCAGCCTCTACCAGTGCCCAACCAAGCATGGTCACAAATCAGTATGGATTTCATTGAGAGTTTGCCAAATTCTGAAGGTTCTGACACGATAGTAGTGGTTGTGGACAGATTCACAAAATTCTCCTATTTCGTTCCGCTCAAACATCCTTTCTCAGTAGTGGAAGTTGCCAAGCTATTCTTAACACATGTTTTCAGACTCCATACGTTACTAGATGTGATAGTCTCAGATAGAGACAAGCTCTTCACCAGTCTTTTTTGGCAAGAGCTGTTTAGACTGGTTGGTACTCGCTTAAACCTCAACTCAGCCTACCATCCACAAACAGATGGTCAAAGTGAACGTGTTAATCAGTGCGTTGAGACATACTTAAGATACATGAGTAGTGATAGACCTCAGAAGTGGAAGTCCTAGTTGCATATGGCTGAGTAGTGGTATAACACTAACTATCACACTAGCCTTAAAATGACCCCATTTGAGGCCCTCTATGGTTACAAACCTAACCAGATACCTCTAGGGTGCATTGCTGATACTATTGTTCCTGCAGCCAGGGATCTTGTTCGTGATAGACAGACTGTGTTGCAAATTCTTCGTCAGAACCTGACTTAGGCGCAACAGCAAATGAAATTTTTTGCAGATAAGAGGAGGAGTGAAAGAACTTTGGAAGTTGGTGACATGGTTTATTTGAAGCTTCAACCTTACCGCCAACAGTCTGTGGAGGTGAGGCGTTCCTTGAACCTTGCCTCAAAGTATTAGGGTCCTTTTCCTGTCCTTGCTCGTGTGGGAGAAGTAGCTTACAGATTGGGGTTACCTCAGGGTTCCAGAATTCACCCTGTATTCCACATTTCTATGTTGAAGAAGAAGTTGGGAGGTTCTCAAGTAGTCATGCCTGCATTGCCACTAGTTGGTCCTGATGATCAGATTCAGGTTGCTCCTGAAATGGTACTCAAGAGGAGGGTCATACTGCGAAATCATCAACCAGTGTCACAAGTCTTGATCAAATGGGTTAATCTGGGATTTGAAGAAGCCACTTGGGAGGACCTTGATTTCATTAAACACCAGTTTCCAAAATTCCATCCTTGAGGACAAGGATGCTCTGAAGGTGAGGGTATTGTCAGGAATCATAAGTGATGCGATGTAATTTTGGAGCATTGCGGCGTCGTTTTGGAGATTGCCAGGAGGAATAGGTAGCGCGACGTAGTTTTGGTTGGGAATTCATATTCTTGTTAGAAACGGTGCCGTTGCACTGGAAGTTAGTTAGAAAATCTGTTAGATTGTTTCAGTTAGTTGCAAAGGCGGTTAGCACTAATGAAGTGTAAATAATGCTATAAATAGCAAATGGGAGAAGGAAGGCAGTAATCAGATTCATAACCAGAAATTTTCAAATGAAAATATCTTTTCTCTTTTCTCAATTCTCTCTCAGCTCATGAACACCCCTTTCTCTCTTTCTTTCTTCCGCAAACTATCAGGTTAAATCCTGACACTCGACTCGACAAGGCTTGCGAGTTATAACTCGATTTCTGGCTCACGAGCTGCTCGTAATGTAGCTCGATTTCTGGCTCGCGAGCAGCTCGTTAGCTCGAGTTTCTAGAAATTAATCTAATAAAAATAACAAATAATTATTTTTTTTAATAAATAATAAATATTAGGGACATATATGTAATTTTACTATTAAAATAAAAATATATATAGTAAAATTAAAAATAATATATATATATACTTGAGCTCGCGAGAGCTTAATATTTTGAACTCAAACTTGAGCTCGAGTTTGATTTTGCCAACTCGAGCTCGACTCGAGTTCGATATTGACCAAACTCGAGTCGAGATTTGAATCAAGCCGCTCGCGAGCGGTTCGGTTCATTTGCAGCCCTAACCAGAACAAATAGATCACTCATGGATGTGGTACTGGATGAATTTACTTGAGCAATGCAAGAGACTGGGAATGAGTTGTGAATATGGCTTCTTCCAGATGGCTTTTTCACAAAAATGTAATAGAAAAATGTAGTCCCTTTTGATCGAATATCAATTGGGAAAAAAAATTAGAATAACACTTGGCACTTTTTTCCTACTATTGTGATGCATTTGAAATGAAAAAATGATAATTAAAAAAATAAAAACACATTTATGCTAGGATACAAAAGTTCTATAAGTAGAGTTCGAACCAAAGAATGGTATTCTAGAAAAACATGTTTTAAAAAAAAACGTAATAATAAATCATATTCTAAAGAAACACCCAATTGCTAATCCCCCCAAAAAAAAAATTACGGCTAATCCCACTTATAGACGTATTGATGATCTTGCTGGTTCGGGCTTCTGCCTAAATGCATGCAAATGTTCCCCTTGAGCGATCTCCTAAATTTCCAAATTAGACTAGAATTCTTCAAGTTAGCCCTGATATTTTAAGGAAAGTATGTAAAATGCCAACAGATTTTAGAAGATGAAGAAAATTGTTGCAAAATGTTCCTAGAGTGAGAATTATTTTCAGCAGTTATAAAGTAGAAAGAAGCCATTGCTAATTTGACATGCGTTTCAAGTTCAAATTAAACAAAAAATAATTCATTGTATGCCTCAATTTGTTTTTTAGGCTATTCAGTTATATTTTTTTACTAGGTCAAGTTTTTTTAAAGAGTTCTATTATAAACCGAGGATGACTTGGTCTACTTGCTAAAAATGAGATTCGAAATCATAGATGTTTTAGATTCAAATTTCTCCTTTCCGTTTCTATTTCTTGAATCTCACTCCTCCCCTATTGGATTTGGGTTTGTCTTCACTTTTTAAATCCCACCTCTATCCTGATAGAGTTAAAAAAAAAAAAAAGAGTTTTCATTACAAAAACAATTAAATTAAATGGTAGTAGGTGTAATGTTTGAAACCTCAGGGGAGTCTAATAAAATTTTTGAAAACTTTAGGGGAGGTTTCTAAAATCATCCCCATTTTCGAGGGTCAAATTTGTGGGTTCAATCGTCACATATACATATCTTTGAGGGTTTTATTATAATTTATCCGTTTAAGTCTCATAATTTCTACTAATTGGGTTTGATAAACCCATAAAACCCCAACGCCACAGCAAGCCTCCCTGTGCCTGTTACAGGTTCCCTTCAGATTGCCGTTTGAGGTACATTTCGAGTTTGAGACTTTTCCTGTTCCTTTCATCTTGATATTAAACTTCTTATCTTTTACTGAAATATTAAATGTTGGTATAACCCTTTTCATGATATTAGAGTTTGAATTTATTGGTGAACCCAAACTCTTGACATTTTCAGAGAAAAATCCAGTCTTGTTTCTTATTCAAGAGGGCAAATATCATCGGTTTAGGAAATAATTACTTCATTTCTCTTGTTTATATGCAAATTCTTTGCTATTATTTTGTTCCCTCATGCTGTTACTGGAATAATAATGAATTCTTGGCTTTTGCAGACTTGAAACATCCGCATATTCCCCTTACAAAACATTGAGGACAAAGAAAAAATAAAATTACCTACCTTTTCAAGTTAAAATTTCTCTTATTATTGGATTAAATGGTGCACGTTTTATGCCCTTAATGGTTATTGCTGATGTTGGGGTGCATAATTTTGATAACCAGATGGCCCTAAGAGGTGTGTGGCAGTTAAACAAGCTGATTGTGAGCTATAGTGACTGGGGTGGAAGTAGTAGAGGCCTCAGGTATGCTTTTCTTAATTGCTTTTGCATTTCTTGCTTTTGTATTTAGAACTTTTACCTGTACAAAATTTCTTTAATGACTTGACTTGATTACATGTACGATATGATTTTGTCGTTGATTCAACCACAGGAAAATAACAGAATATACTCAAAAGGACAAAAATTTGATCTTTATACTTTTCAAATCCCAGTTACTAGCAATCACCTGAGAATCGGTAAATCTGTACATCACAAATTTATCTTCTTGACCGTGTGATAGCTCTTTAGTTTAGATTAGCCTATTCTGAGGAGAATGTTCCAATTATAGCTCCTCGATGTATTATCTTAAGTCAATTTTAGTGATTTTAGATTCTTATTTTTGCATTTCGTTTGTTGAATGTTCATTTGATATGTATGGTCAATGTCATTGGTTATCTTATGATACAAAGTGATTTTCAAGTCTATAGATAGTACTGGATTTCTTTCACCAGAGCAATGGATACATGACATATCTAAATGCATGTAGATTGACTGCTACCACAATGTTTTGTAGGTTACGAATTTCCATTACTGTGAGGACTATAGAAGTTAAAAGGGATAACATTGATAGTCATTAGAAATCCTACTTGTGGCAATATCAGGAACTCTAAGTTAAATTGTGTCCTCTCATTTTTCTTGTTATGTAAGAGGACACTTTATATGACACAGGCCCTAATTCAATCATACTCCAAAAATCTGTATATCTGGGCCAATTCCAACTTTACAGTGCAAGTTCCTATGCTACTATTTCTGTCGAATCTTTTAAATATGTATTAAAGGAATGGTTAAATTATAGTCTACTTGGCATTTTTGCTGCTTTTGAATGGCATTTTGACTGTCCAGGATGTGGTCTTATGATACAATTTGTTTAGCTTATATAAAAAGCGAGTTTTCCCTGCTTTAGATTAATTATCTGCTAGTTTACAAGCACAGTTCCACCAAAAGAAAAACAATTTTGATAAGAAAAATATCATTAATATAATCTTAATGATGAAGGACAATTCTCTTTAATCTAAATGGAAGGGAATATGAAATAAAAAGTTGTAGATTCCTGTCATCTTCTAGCGCAATGAAAGGACTAACCATGTCCGTAACACACCAGGGCATTCATGGAATCTCATTTGCCAGCATTTAAAGAGATTAATCCCCAGCTGGAGGTGGTAACTGAGCTTAATCGTGGTCAGCATCCATATTTGAAGGGACTATACCGTAAGAACATCTTTACAATCTTGACAAACCAGTTCTCTGCAATTAATGTTTTCATTCTTAGTCTATGCCTTGAATTTCACTTCATTTCTATCTCTCTACTTTGTGTAATTAATGTTTTCATTCTTAGTCTATGCCTTGAATTTCACTTCATTTCTATCTCTCTACTTTGTGTAATTTTAGCCCCTTAGACACGGATCAGAAGGATATATGGTTGCAAAGTTCAGTAATAGGTTGAAATAACATGCATGTCTTTGTAAATGCACCTTCTGAGCTTTGTGTCAACACGACTAATTAATGAAGTTGTATCTGTTGATCTCATTGATTATGCCTATCTAGCTGCAAAACTAATGAATGCACCTGGACAGAGGTTATCCTGTACCTTACCACCACAGAAACATTTTTGTATACTAAATTACCCTGAGCTGCTGATCATGACACTGGCAGTCAAAGCCTATTGAGATTTAATGGATGGGATTGGTTTAGGTCCCTTTGTCCTGTCATCTCTCAAAATGTGTTATATTGCATCC